AAAGAGTCTTAGATTGTATGTACTCAAAAAGATCTTTGGAATTTGAAAATTGAAAATTAAAAACTTTGGGACTGTATGAACTTTGCACGTAATATTATAATGTGCGTCGATAGAATAAGAGATCATGCTTTACATGCAACACCCTTCATCCGCTTTCAATTGATATCCAGTAACAAATGTCACAAAAAGCAACATTGCAAACACAGAAACAACGTGAAAGGGCCATAGATGACATGTGGGATGTTCACTAGAGTATGATGACCTACTTATCTGAGGTGCTGTAACGATCCCCTTTGAAAGTGTTGGCGACAGAAGACCTAGTGAAGTTATTCTACCTCATAACTCTGGTTTGATTTGGATTTAGCAGTATATATGCTTTTGAAATCGCTTTATTATTGCATTGTCATTTCATATGTATCGCATGTTGACATTGAAGTGTTCATTACAAGTTGAATGATACCTTGTGTAATAACACATCTACCGTCCCAACCCCACACTATAAAAACAACTTCATAAAAATTTTAGATATATAAAAAAAAGACTTAAGAACCGAACGAGTTCTTAATTCTTATCACAAAAAATTAAAATGACTTTTATACATCAAACTCTCCATGAGAGTGTGAACGTTTTGAATTTAATTATCTTTGTGGTCAATCCGAATCCATGAAGACTTTTAAGGCATGATAAGTCGTAGTAATTGTCGTGGGACAAGTCAGATGGAACTGTTTTAATATGCTCATATGAATTATCCTAGTCCTTATAAGTCTGGAGGTCTTTAGTTGTAATTTTTGTCACATATATAAAATATGTCATCAACTTAAGATACTTCAGTAACTTTAATAAGAAAATGTATCGATAGTATACTGAAGTGACATATCAATCGTGAAAATCAATTGGGAAAAAAATTTCGTTACTTTTTCATTTTTTTTTTCTTTTGTTATTGCTGATTAACGTTTTCAGAGAGCCTCAAATGATGCTTTGTGACGGTGTTATTGCTGTTGGACTTACACTCCTCTAATGGTGAAAAATCGTGATTGGCAAATTTGAATTACAAATTGTAAAATCACATGAATTGTGTAGAAAAATACCTCAATAATTATGTAACTTGTTTATATTTTTGAAAGCCTAATATATTTATGATACAATATGTAACTAGAAGTTATATTGTTTTATTCATAGGAGTCTATCATGAGACATAAAAACAAAACTTTTAAAAATGTCAGAAGATTTTCATTTTCATCTTTCATTTCATCTTTTTATTTTTGCCTTTATGTCATTTCGCATGATGGGTTAAACGTGCGTAGCAGGAGACGCGTATTATGTCGACACACTCAGTGTAGCTCCTTTTTGGTGGTTCCGTCATATTTTTTCTCTTGGTTTGCGTATTCAAAATAGATTCGCCAGTTTTTAACATCGGTAAACTGTTCATCGACTGTTTGATATTCTAAGAAACGCGAGATTCTGCACATATTTTACTGCAGTTTAATTTCATGAATAAAATGAGAAGTTTCGTATACCTACATGAGACAACAACCCAACGCACAGGGAGGCATGCGTTCCTCAACAATAGATAATTGTGTGTAACTCACATCTTGATTTACATCTTGTAATATACAATCAGGGTTTGTTGAGTACAACATTTACGACAAAAGGGGTGATTTCATCTTTCCAATTATGAGCCTTCCATTTCTATGTAGCAACATTCAAGCAGCCCGTGCATATGTATATACGACTCCCAATTGATACGACTTAAGCTTGAGTTTCCTAAACATGATTTCCTTGATAGAGTGTTTCTATTCACCAGGAAGCTATTGAAATAAGGGTTCCAAATGGTGACGTTGAAGTCATTCTTCCAAAAGTTTTACGGACTCCATAATACACTGGTTAATCTAAGTTTATGGGATACCTGTGTCACAAATAACCACTATATATCTCAACTGTTGTAACCACAATCCCGTCCTCTTTTCACCGAATCTGTACTTAAAATGATCGACATGACGGGTGCCATAAGTGGAGCAGGATCTGCTTAGCCTTCCAGAGCACCTTATATGACCCCCAGTTTTTGGTGGGGTAAGTATTGCCCAGTCTTTAGTTTACCATGTAATTTTTTGGGAACTCGTTTGACTTTTCGTCGTCTACCGTTGTTCGTCAGGGCGTTGTCAGTTTACCTTGACTTCTTTTTATTTTTGAATGTCCCCTTGGTATCTTTCGCCTCTTTTTTGTACAATGTGCCAAGCTCTGAACCGTCCACACTCTAGATGTAAATGAATTAAACAGAGACTACCAAAGATCTGTCATTAACACAGAAATTGTTAGTGGTCATATAAACCGCAACTACTGATAATGATCATGATCCACCATTTCCTACATAAGGAAATACCTGTACCAAGTCAGGAATATGACAGTTGTTTTCTATTCGTGTGATGTGTTTGAGCTTTTGATTTTGCCATTTGATAAGTCGAATTTTCCTTGGATTTCGATATTTTTGTTATTTTACTTTTTGGATAGCTACATTAAGATGTGACGAGTTCAACTATTCGAAAAGCTACTAAGTCCTTCCCCTGTTTATATCTTAAGAATGTTATAAAACGTTGAGTTATAGTATGATGGGATGAAACATATATTCTTTAGATATTCTTAATGTGTCATTGAACTTACTTGAAAAGTAAGTACCTATTTTGTTTAATATACTGTCTTATTTGCCTTTAAGATTGTATCTTGGTTATATAGTTTAGTATATGAGAACATTATCTTATGTTTTGATTATCCCAGGATTAGTTTCTATATATTTAACTGGATATTCTCCCAGATCTGATACAAATGAAATACAGTAAGTTATATCTATAGACTTTTGAACAGATTAATTCAATTTTAAATGAATTAAAATCTAGAGAAAAAAAATCGAAAACTTGTTATCTTTCTTATCATCATGACAAAATTCTCGATTGCTTATTTTAATATAAACAGTGTTCACATAAGCTACAATTTAACAAACATATTAAATTCATATAAACTTTAGATTAAAAAGAAACAGAAATTAAAGGCACTTTTCAAAATTTGATTTATTACATAAAAATCACATAAAGTATTTCAAATGTGTGAATGTAGACTAATTTCTGTATTTGAAGCTTAAATTATGCACAATAAGGTAAAAAAAGATGAATAAAATTATTAAATGATTTAGTCTCATTGCCGAAGCAAACTCAACTCCCTTCTTGTAATTAGACTAACTGAATATATGAAGAATAAAATTGCATATTTAGTTTTTTTATTGGTGGCAGTTTATCATTTAAAAGGAATGTAATATTTATTAACTGTGTTGATAAAATCTTTGAATGTGTTTGTCAAAGAAAGTTCTATAAATTATACACTGAATATTTTACATTATGCGTTGTAACTAATGCAGCTTTTCGAATCAGTTGATTTGTTTTTATTTAGATGTAACTGTTTAATCTTCCAGTATCGGATTTTAACCGTTAGTATTGTTTGATTCTTGCTCTGTGAAATTCGATAGTTCTTTGGAATATTTTTTTGGAAAATGTGTCTTTTTATAATAAAATCTAAACGATTATAATGAATATTTTTTTCAATCCATTTCTTCGATCATTTTAACCTGTGTATTTACTATGTCCACTTTATAACATTTTTAGAATGAAAATGGTGAAAAGTAGAACTCGAATATCAAAAGCTAGTGCTGATAAATTAATATGAGATAAGTATCATTTCATTTCATTTCTGTCCAATTTTTTTTTAATATATTGATAAATATCAAAGAAAGTAGATATGGAGAAACGTCAGTTATCGGATATAGCTACCTAATACCGTAGGTCCATCAAAAACATTTGGGTAGGCTTGATATTTATTTTTTTTCTTTCATACTTTTGTTCATCACAATATCCGATTAATTCATTTCAAATTCTAAAATTAAGAATAAACTGACAAGACGTTATAATATATTTTAAAAAAATTACCATTTAATGATAATTCAAAAGTGAAAGTGGCTGCATAATATAGCATTGTGATATTTTTATACCATTATGGGTCGTAGTTTACATGATTTCTTGTTTGTTTAAGTCATATCACACTGGTTGTCGTAATAATTTGATATTCGCTCTGGCACGTTAACGTAATGTGCAATTTATTATGATGTGGCATTTTGTACTTGGGACAATATAATCTATTTAATTTTTCTTTTTGATGTTTGTTTAATATCCATCAGCTGAATTACCTTTCGTTGATATCATTATATCCTCTAATGTATTTTGTGTTTTAATGTGCAATTGTATTTTATTTTCGATGTAGCAACTCGATATTTATGACAAAACAGTCCTAATTTTTATTTGTTCTAATTTTTACTACGTACCTAACTCAATTTATATTGTCTGGTTACAATTCAAATTCGAATTCGGTTTTAATATTTTACAAATGTAATATAATATTCATATTAATAATTCAGCATTCAGCTATATTTAAAAATTTCAGGAAAAACGTTTCCGATTTAATTTCCTAATTGAAAATTTTAATATTTAAACTATGCATATTTATCTATTGTTCCAGTATGAATAAAGTATATCATTGAATGATTTAAATTAGTTTTCAACATGAAGCATGAAATTCCATGAGCAATACATGTCGTTAGATACTGAAGGGAAAATGCCGATTGTTTTAATGGTACCTTCAAATATTTACCTATCAAAATATTTACCAAGAATCCTTTTATTTCTTGAAACTTTTAATATACAATGTAAAAAAATCAACAGACCAAAATCTATAAACGACGAAATGAAAATTAATATGCTAGTCTGCAAATAATGACATCTTCATTGTTCTGTAATTGTAAATAAGAGGCGTGACTTAATCACACGTGGCTACAATAGACGAATGAAAAAATTTATTCTCACTGCCAATCAGAAATGCATACACAAGAAGGAAGGTGTTATCTTAATGCGAATAAAAGTCTATTGGTTAACACTTTGTTAAAATAACAAATGGATAATAAAAGCTTCTGAAGGGGCTAAGAACTAATCGATTTAAAGGTTTAGTAAAAAAGGTATTCAAGTTAATTCTAACTGATAGCAGATGAGAAAAGGCATTGAGGACCACAGGTGTTAAGTTAGAAATTCAAGTATTTTTTTCCTATCCGTTGAAAGTTGTGTTATAATTCAGACTTGAAATATTCGAAGTTTAAAAAAAACACATATACATTAACTAACTTTATTTGTGATCCATAGTGAATGATGAGTTCCGAAGATATGAGTCCGGAAGATCTTTCTTCCCCTGGAAGTGACAATATTGACTATGGTGATGGTTCAAAAGCGGGAAATATGGATCACGTCAAAAGACCAATGAATGCATTTATGGTTTGGTCAAGAGGACAAAGACGAAAAATGGCACAGGATAATCCAAAAATGCACAATTCTGAAATCAGTAAACGACTTGGTGCTGAATGGAAATTACTTTCTGAAGATGACAAAAGACCATTCATTGATGAGGCAAAACGACTCAGAGCTCTTCACATGAAAGAACATCCCGATTATAAATATAGACCACGTAGGAAACCAAAGTCATTGTTAAAAAAGGACAAATATGCTTTTCCGATTCCAATGATGCCAGGTATGAATCCAATGGCATTTGGTGCTTTGTCTTCATCGTTTCATCCTTCTGCAGTTTCCGCTGCGGCAGCTGCCGACAGTTTCATGAACTCTGCATCAATGAGTGACAAAATGAGGGCATTTTTACCACCATCATCAACACACAGTTTGTATTCGCATTTAGAAAATTTGAAAAGTTTAGACTCTTCATCTTTAGCTAGTTTACGATCTCAGGAACTGTCATCCAGTAATCCACTTTATTCACCGTATTTCCACCCTCCTACGTCATCAGCGTTGACGGGATTACCGCCTGCAGCACACTCACATCCGGGACAGTATTTGTTACCTTGCTGCCCTCCAGGATATTTACCGTCACAAGACATCCATAGACCAGTAGCATATGTAGTACTCAAACCGGAAGAACATTACCGACATTCGTCTGTTATGTGATATTCAAATAATTAACTTTAACAATGTTTGCTTTGAAATAACCTATTTCGCATACTTAAATGGCGAAATTCAAACACATACAGTTTGGATTTGATTAAAGAATAAATGTTATTATGATGCTGGTGTTATCCAAAGGGATGTTGTCCAGACAATTGTTCGGTATGTAAAAATGGACATCAAGATCTCATGAATTTAAATCTTTATGAACACACATTTACTTTTAAAGCCTAGTGCTAAATAGATGAAAGACATAAAGTGCTAGTTTTGTTGTCAGAATATGTTATGTTTATTTAGTTTTAATGTTATACTTGTCTATGATATTGATACATTTTTTTGTTATTTTTTTTATTGAATTTAAATGTATAAATATATAATGACAAGCAAAAATATTCAAACATCCTTTTAAACTACAAACAATTTTTTTCTTATAAGATATTAAAGCAAAAAGTTTGTATATTGAACATTTTAAAAATTATTTATCATATTTGTTATAAACTGAATATTGTTGCGGAAAAAAAACGTCCCGAAGATTTCTTTCTTACTCTAAATTTATGTTATATTGTAACTAGAAAGCCATACATTCGTTGCAGAATGACAGGACTATATTCTTAATTGCAGGGGGTGTGTGTGATTAAAAGAATTAAAGTAATTGTAATTACATCGATATCAGAGAATACCAGTATAAGAGAAAAGTTACTGAATTATTTCAATTTCCAAAATATTTAAATCGCATATAATTTTAGTTCGATAAGCAGAACCATTGTCCAAATTTAGAATAAATACAGAAAAGATTTAATCAAAATGTTACAAAATACTCCTAATTCAAAATGTATACAAATTTTAAATACAATCCCGATGGGCAAAAAGATTATAATCTACTAAAAATCCAATGTCAATTACATTGTAATAATTGTAAAAGATTATCACAGATAAAACTTACAAAAGTCGACAAATCAATTTCAACAATAGAAAATTAATTGCATATTGTGACGTTCATTTTGTTACAAATTGTCTCATCGATCTGTATTTATGAAACAAGGAAACATGACAATAACATTGTTAAACTCTGTTAGTTATGGATCGTTTATTGCTTAGGAGTTCAACCTTCAATGACTGACAGGGTGTTAATTTCAATGTCAGCCTCAGTAGATTGTTTAACTATTTGTAAACTGTTCGTTATTCAGTTTAAACTACTGTTTAAATATTTATGCGTGAACGTCGAACACTACAAACAGTTGATTTTGTCTAAAAATACATCCATCATGTCATTATTCAAATTTTATGAAAGTTAAATAAACTTTGCTTTTCATTTGTTATAAGCAGAATTACTTCTATTGACCAAGTCTATTGATAATATTTAATTTGATTTTCAAAGTATGATTTCTTTTACGAATTATAATTAGAAATTAAAAAAAACAACATTTAGTTGAAATGAATGAAACAACCTATACAATTCTATAAATCAACTATAGTAACACTATTGCCATGCAATATATTATGCAATAAGAATTAAAGAAATTCAAATACTTATGAACAAGACTGAAGTCATTACTATACTAGCGCATTTATTTCAAACTGAATGTACTCATTAAATGCAATTATTCATTTGACATGTCTCTTTGAATATTTACATTGTCATCATCTTAAACAGGGTTATTATTTACCTTGATTATTATTTTTAATTTTTCTTAATATTTTGTTATTGAAATAAAGTGTTCAAATGTTTCTTGGTTTTCGAATTTTCATTACTAATGCGACATAGAATATGCGCTTGAAATAAAATATATGGGGTAAACGTCAAGTGTTTTGTACAAGTTTGTAAATTCTATTGAGTTGTGAAAATGGTAATATTTAGTGGAGAGTATGAAGGGTTTAGTTATTGTCACTTCTGTCATATAAAGCATTGGTTATGCTTACTTTTATCTTTATAGTGTCTTCTGAGGATCCGTCTTACATGGTCATGCTTTTGTTTTTGCTGGGTGTTTGTTTCACTACATCGCTTGATCCAGAGAATTCGGAGAGAAAAAAAACATGAAATATTATACAGGCGTTTAAAACTAAAAGTAACATGTACAGTTGATCTTTTTGTGGGAGTTACAACGAAAGCTTCATCCATTTTTGTTAATAAATCTTACCATGGTTTCGTCAAGGTATAGAAATAAGATAGATACGGTGTGTTTGCCCATGAGACAACTTAACATTATAGATGTAAGCAACTATATGTCACTGTACAGCCACCAATAACGGACAAAACCCATACCGTATACACAAGTTGTAAAAGGCCCTGAAATGACAAAATACAAAACAGTTCAATCGAGAAACCAATGGCCTGATTTATGTACAAAACAGTAAACAAAACAAACCCAAATATGATAGACAGAAAACAATGACAACTATACTGAATTACAGGCACATGACTTTGGACAGGCACATAAAGAATGTGTTTGCGAGCGTTCATTTTTTTCTGATCTTATTTTCTTCTGGTTTTAAACGGTTGATATAGATTACGGTTGCTTGCGGCGAAAGAACATGGCAATAACACACCGTTTTCCTTCAATTTGTCGTTGCTTCAGTGTATTGAATTTGAGTGTTCGAATCTTATTTCAGTATCAGTTTAAATCTTTTTGCAACAAATATCTTTCCAGTTGTAATTACAAAAGAATCGTTAAATATCACTTCTTAAAGACTTCGACATGTTTTTCCTTTAAGAAATCAAATCTGGTGATTTTGAATCCATTTCGGCCTAGCCAAGAAGAACAAAAAATATACCGAAGTAACCCTTTATTGTATATTAAACTGAGACTACACTATATACCGTATGAGTCTAAACTAAACTCACAATTTCATATCAGTTAAAAAATAAGAACAACATTTAATATTTTGTTTGCGTTCTTATCGCCCATTTGTGATTTAGTTCATCGGGAACGCTCAAAACCAAAAATTTGTAAGACTAAGGTTGTATTAAAGACATACAAAAATCAAGTGAAACGCTGGTCATTGTTGATAACTTAAAAAATACATATATTTTACTAGGACAATGTTGAATCGTATAATAGAGTAACGGAATCTATATTTGCTTAGATTAATTAAAAGTAGCTAAGTAGAATTCGTTCACGGAATAAAGATGCAAATATATATAAAGCAATTTTAAGCTTGTCTATTTCAAGAGCTATAATGAGATTTTAAAGAAAACTGGCGTTCGTATGATTCTGTTATAAAGATATGAATAAATGAGATGTGTGTATACGTCAATGAGAAAGCGACGCAGGGACACCAAAAAACAAAAGATAAGAATAAGTAGATGTGATATGATTGCTAATGAAACAACTATCCACCAAAGTTCAAATGAAGTGGATACCTTCTTTTGCGCTAATTCGTAGCAGAAATCGGCGAGTTTATCAATCCCATCCTCTATTTTTTTAAGGCTGAAATATCAATATCGTGTAAACTTTAAATAAAACAAATAAATCTAAACTAAAAACAACATATTTTTGATAGCATGTGTTCGACTTTCCAAAATATATTCCTTATTAAAAACGAAACAACAGAACATTGAACATACAAATCATATGTCATAAGTGTAATAGTTTCTTAAATCTTGATTTTCATGCCGAAAAAATGCACGAATAGTGTACACGTAATTTCTGGTAAAATATTGTGGTGCATTATTCCAAATCATTTCAAAGAAAATGCAAAAGAACCATTGATAATTTTTGTAGAATCAATGTTGATGACGAGATGTCTTACCATATATACATATGTCATGAACCCAAGATAACATCAATTCCCAATGGCATGTACGTCTGCTATTTTTTCGAAATAAACGAATGGAATTATCGAAAAAATGTAATTAAAATAAACTTATATCACGGTGGACGTTAAACATCTTTAATACTTTCAGGATTTTGTTTTTTCCTTATATATGTTCTGGGTAGTTTCGCTTACACGTATAGTGATTGCATTATGCAATTCTGAATTAATTTTCTTATTTCACAATTCCCATGTTTTGATGTTAATGATGTTTTATGATGTTTTCCTGAAAGAGAAGAGTAAGTTTTACATAATAATGATAAATTTCAACTTTCTTAACAAATAATTAAACGTTTTTGCAAAATTTCAAAAGGTAGAAATAATTGAAATGATACATTTAATTCGGTCTTTTATTAATGAAAGAAACCCATAAATGGGATTTTAGAAAGGAAATTCTGTATAAATGGAAAAAAATAAATAATTCTTTTCAATACAGAATATATGCATCAGTGAACTTCCAAGGGTAAAGGGTGTATATTTGATGCTTCGGTTGAAATATTGTTCTCCATTTTCAACGTCATTTGAACGGGGAACTTATGTGATTTTAAAGCAATGGTTCACTGGGGCATCTACAGCTACCATGAAACAAAAATGAAATAGTCTTGATCTATCTGGATTTTTTTGGTGGCATTTTGTTGCATGGTTGCTGTTTTGTTAATGCTTATACTCTGAAAATTGATCGACTGAAATATCCATGCGAAAAAAGCGTTACTAGGGTTATATATATATATATATATAAATATACCTATAAAAATAAAGCTAGCAGCATTTTGTCAAATAAAGTCGCATTTCACTCGAAATTGATGATGTCTTTTTTCCTTGTCTTTTCACTTTTTTTTTCGTTTTAGCTGATATTTCGATTCCACTGGATTATTTAAAGTCATTGCAATTTACAAGGACGAATGTGTTATGTTGACCTTAACGATAATAAATAAAACACCTGTTCCGATGCTCCAACTAAATTTGGTCTCTCCTCCCTTCTGGTCTCAACCCTTTCCTGTTTCAAATGCACAAATATTGCTCAATACTACCATACAAAAAATATCAAATACTTTTAACACTGTAACATTCATCAATATTTATACTTTAAATAAACCATCGGAAAACACCACACATACCAGGAGAGAAGTTCAAAACTACTAAATATTGCAAGTACAACAACATGTATAAGGCAATCTTCATACATTGAGTTCGACATAACAATTATTATTGCAGAGGATATGTGTACTTTTAACCACAAAGTAATATATAAAATTGAATATATATTTATATCGGTCATGATATGCAAGTTTATAGTCATTCATAGAATTTAAAAAAAATCAATAATATAATAATATATGTTGGTCTAATTTGATTGTTTTAAGATAATTCGATCTAAATTATGAAAAAAATCATGTATTTTAACAATGCTTACATTATTAACATGCGAAAAGTTTGAAATCATCTACAACTAGGACAACAAGATGACCTCTAAGTAAGATGACCTATTAGGAGACAACAGACTGGAGATTCAATGAGTTAGCTAATTTTTGCTGGTGAAGAGTTGTCACAAGTAACGAGCTTGTGTGTGAAATACAACAGGCTTCTTATTGACTTTTTATAGCATTAAAGCATTTTGTAAATAGCTTATTGTCGGTAGAATATATCTTAGACTTAATTATATTTGTAAAGGACTTGAGATACAATACAAAAGTTTGTAAATTGACAATATGAATTATTCTAGCCTCTTAAAATGAAGTCTTAAAGAGAATGATCTAAAACTGTAATAAGTCTAACCACTGTTCAGATGAATTGTGCAAACTTACGTAATTTATCAACTTTTTACCATAAATTTTTACAACCCTTGAAATTTAAAAGAAGTTTAAAAGATCTTACAATAGCTTTATATATTATCGACAGTATCATCATAAATGTAAAAATAAGTATAAGAGATTTTCGTTTACTTTCCTTTACTTAATAAAATAGTTTTGCATTCTTCTAATGACCTTTTCATTTTACTAGGGCCAAGATATAAAACTACAGTACAACGAAATATATATACGATGGATTGTCCAAAAGGGAGTCGAATATAATTTTTATGGAACAAATTCGTCTTAGAAGCTATTTTAAATTATGAACAATGCTAGAGCATTGAAAAATGATATATTCAAAATCGGGATAGATTGTATATCCATCAACAGCAATTATGCTATTTTCTCGGAGGAACTAATGTTCATGCGGTTTGTTGTACTGTCTAATAAATGTAGTAATTCCTGATATCCTTTTTATAAATTATAATTGATATTTATCAGTATTTTCCAATTGTTGCATGCCTAAGGTAGCATGCGCTCGGAGGGGAAATAAAATCAATCTATTTCCTCCGTTGCATAATTACCTAGCCAATAATAAAGCTAGTCAAAGATAAAACCAACGACTTTCGTGTTCCTGATAAACACTTCAGATTAATCAGCGAACAGTATTTTTTATCGTTTGTTAATAATTTCAATTGACTTAAAGAATCGCATATGAAAACATCATTATTATGTAATTGAATAATCTAAATTTTCTAAATAGACAACTACAGTTACAATTTATTAAATCATATCAATATAAGGTTTTATAGATATGAATTTGTCCTATTCACAATTGTGCTGGCCTAAACGACTTTTCTTTTATTTTAGAGATTAATAAATTCCCATATTTAAATGAAGCTACCCGGGGAATTAGATCAACGCCATAAATATGTTCCCCTGATTTATAATTGTCTTTTACATATAGTAGATATATAAACAAACTTGGGTTATGTGGGTTATACGACAATGAGACAGCAACCCATTTACTTGAGAGAAGTAAGTATGCCGTTTGGGTATTGTTTATACTAACACATGTTCCCAAATAATAATCTAACTTTCAATAATTGTTGTGTTTTTAACTAA